TAAATAGCAGGACAGACTGGGTTCTATAGCCTTTGATGCCAACTTGTCTAGGAGAAGGGCAACTCTGAATTCAATATCTGCGGAGGGTCGTTTGGGGACCTTATGACACGTAGTATACGGCCCTTCAAAAAGTGTGGAAGGCTACTATAATCACTACTATAACTAAATCTCATGTGCTGGTGTCGGGCTGTTGGTTTCCTGGGAACTGATCTGCTTGACCTTCATACGTCGAATTCGACGGGACAGTCGAGAATATATATATATGTATGTGTGTGTGTGTGTACATACAAATAAAGAGAAAGAACAGTCAGATTAAGAATGCATTGTTCTTTAGCGTTTAATTTTTTAAAAGTACTCGATATCATGTACAGCACAATAATATTATTTAAAATAAATATTTTACCTCGTGACATGGAAATTTCTGTTTCGAATCTTTAAATTTGTTCCATTATCAAACGATGTTAGGCAACTTTTTTCTCTTTTATTTTTTTTTTTTTTTACGAAACAGAAATTTCCGTGTCGCGATGTAAAATATTTTTTAAATAAAAATATTAATTATATTAATATATATATATATGGATTCCAGAATAAAATAGCATTTACCCCACCCCAGTATTTTGAATCCGTCTGCCAGGAAGAGTCAACTAACCAATCGTTCTGGCTCTGCTATTTCTGAGCATAGAATAAATAGTAGGAAATGTGTGGTTAATTTTAGTGTGGACCGTTTTTTGATTTTGTCTAGGTCCCACTCCACATTTCACCTCAAGGTTCTAGAGTCCTTGTATATCAGATCCTGTCAGCCTTGCCTTTGTAAACAGAGGGAATGCTTACTGGGTCTGAATGTTATTGGACTCTAGTTTCTTGAAATTCATTTTTCCCCATTCCATTCTATTCGTTAATTTAAATTTAACTTACACGCTTTTTAAATTTTCTATTCCCAGAAAAAATATACTTGATAAGTCCTGGGACGAAACCGGTTTTTTTTATTTTCTTTTTTTTTACCTTTTCTTTTAAAAAATGCCTTTGTCTTTTCCTATCTATTATTAAATTCTGTACCACAAAAAATATATATATATATATATATATATATATATATATATATATATATATATATATATATATAATAATTTAATAATGATTTAAGAAAAAAATGATTTCTTAATTTTTGCTTTTTCCCTTAGTTTAAATATGACGTAGGTCATATTTGATTGATATGATCTGAGTAATGCCCACAAACCTTATAACCATCCCACTCTTTTCTTTCTTTTTTTTTTCGTAAAAAGTGGCTGTATTTTACTTTTAAATCTGAATAAATCGTTCACTCGACAATAATTTACAATCGCCTGATGAGATGCATTGATACGCATCGAAACGCAAATGCAATTGTGTAGCGATTTTCGATGTTTTCGATGTAATATCCTAAAATAAAGAATATTGCTCTCCTTTGTATTAAGCCCTCTTTTAAATTAAATGCTGCCAACGTTAGAAATGTACTATATTCTTTCACATCTTACCTATATATATATATATGTGTGTGTGTGTGTGTGTGTGTGTGTGTGTGTGTGTGTTTGTGTGTGTGAGTGTGTGTGTGATAATAAATAAAATTTCATGTTCACTTGTCACTATTCTGAATTTTGCGGAAATTTCATCCACTCGTCGGGAGACTTGATTGTAAAACTCATTTTTAAGAACTTTACAATCAAGTCTGGATGTATTTCCCACAAAACTCGGAGTCGGAACAAGATAAGTGAACATTTAATTTTATTTATTGCTATTAATTCCCTATATCTAGATATCGAGCGCTAGAATTAAAAAGACTGTTTTCTTTAAGAACTTCATCTTTCACAAATACCCTGATCGAATATTATTTTTGTTTTCATTTTTCTGTGAAATTCCGTTGAACTGTGTCACGATGGAAGAAGAAAGAAGCCTTTTTTTTTTCACATTCACAGAAACCAATAAATAAATGAATTAATAAGTAAAAAAATTTCGTCCTTATTTTCAGCTGCTCTTGTCAATTGCTAAAAAGAAAAAAGCTAATGATATATAGTTTCTTTCTAACCGGTCCCTGTGAATGTTACTGGAACCTAAGGATTTTAAATGTTGATTTTCACGGCACGCCAACCTCTCTTCGGAGATTAGCGTAAAAGTGTCTTTATACAACTCCACCTCCCACTCGTTTATTTAGCCGTATGCAGTACGAACGTAAGCTTTACAAAGCCTAACTTAATATTCTTATCATTTGCTAATATTAAGATGGGCCAAAGATTGAGATGATTAGACTTTTCAAGAATTTTCAATTTCTGAATTAAAAAAGAAATATATATATTCAAAAATATACAAAGGGGGATAATAAGAAAGCATGTAAAAAAGATGTGATCAAAAAAAAAAAAAGATTTGAGAAAAAGAGATATTTTTATCCCTTTTTTAAGATGAGTGAAGACAAGACGACGATTTTGCCGATATAAATGCTTATAATTTTACATTCCATGAGAGGGATTAGACCATGAAAAAAAAAAAAAAAGTAAAAATCCCTAACTGGATGTTTCAGAATCATGAATCAATCTGAACAAAGGCTATCTAGACTTCAGGCTGATGTTTCGATTCCGTGACAACCGAAACTAAAATATTTTGATGCTCTGTAAATCTATATTTTATTTGACTTCCAGATTTGTCTTCATCTTCCACGATGTTTTTGCCTGTAGCATTAAACATTATAGGAAAACATTATAGCAAAACATTATTGAAAAACATTAAACATTATAGGTAAACTTTATAGGAAACATTATAGGAACAAATTTAAACATTGTAGGAAACATTATTATTAAACTTCATTATAAAACATTATTATAAAACATTACAGGAAAACATTATCAGAAAACATTACAGAAAAAATTATAGGAAAACATTAAATATTATGGGAGAATTATAGGAAACGTTATAGGAACACATTAAAACATTATAGGAAGCCTTATAAAACATTATAGGAAGCATTATAATAAAAATATAAAACAATATAGGTAACATTAAACATTATAGGAAATATTATAAAGCATTATAAGAAACTTTATTAGAAAACATTATTATAAAACATTATAGCAAAACATTGAAGTATTATAGTAAAGTATTATAGAAATACATTATACGAAAACATTATAGGAAACCTTATAAAACATTATAGGAAACATTATAATAAAAATATAAAACAATATAGGGTAACATTAAACATTATAGGAAACATTATAAAGCATTATAGGAAACATTATTAGAAAACATTATTATAAAACATTATAGAAAAACATTGAAATATTATAGGAAAATATTATAGGAATACATTATACGAAAACATTATAGGAAACATTATAAAACATTATAGGAAACATTATAAACAAAATATAAAACAATATAGGGTAACATTAAATATTATAGGAAACATTATAGGAAACATTATAAAGCATTAAAAACGATTAAAAGCCACATTACGTGATTGATGAGACACGTTACAATACGTACAAGACATTTGTGACTAGACTACCTGGCGTATTCCCTACTGGCTGTAGTAGACGGAGCTCAAATACAGGTAAACGCTAAGAATTCAAATGCAATCCGTTTTAGGCAATCCGTTTAACTTAAATGATTGGCGAGGTAAAATCTTTCTATCACTGTTTTTCCTCATCTCTCTCTATATAAAACAGAGGTTGGCTGTCTGTCTGTCTGTCTGTCTGTGTGATATCTTTTCACTCAAGATCCGTACTACCGATTTTGACCTAACTCGAAACATACATTGTACAATGTAAGAGATAGGTTCTTAGCGTAAAAACCAATAATTTATAAAAAAATCAATAATCGATAAAGTCGATAAATTCAGCTTTTTTCCTTCGAATTTGTTTAAACTCGATATGTAGGTTACTTACATCATGACGAGCTCAACAATACCTCATTTTTTATTTCTATCCACTGCGTTTAGCGAAAAAACACGAAAAATGAAAAATCGATTTCAACACAAATCGATTTCAACAGAAATATTAAACTAAAAACTTCCTCAATTTTCAAGCAATCTAATACAGACTTCACTCAATTGTAGCCAACAATAAGTTGATTGTTTAACAGTCATTTAACCTGATAATTGAGTCCACCCATATAGTGAAAACCCACGTAAACAGCAAAAAATGTCGATTTTTACTGGTTTCTTTCTTATTTTTCATTGATCTTTCAACCAATTTTCATCCAACTTAACAATTGCTTTATAAATGTATCCTCTTTTACATCCCTGGTAGCACACTGAAAAATTGAATTTCAAAAACTCCAATAATTGTGGTCTGAAGTGGGTCTTCAAGTTGCCTGTTTTACCCCTTCGTGTCCTCGGCTAACTTCGATTGAATAAATACACACTACTTCTGTTATATTAACTGCATTAATTCAAAATGTTTTTTTTTTTAATGAAAGTACTTTAATGTAATTGAAAAAGATAAACTTTGTTACATCTAAACATGATGTTGTTTTCGCTCCATTCTAATTGAACGCTTTTTCTGATCGCCCAGCTGGGTATGACTTCTAGTTAGATATAAAGGCTTTAAAAACAGACATTTTTAAATGCATATATATAAATATACGGGGTGTTTAAAAATATTTGATATCATTTGAGATGTAAATATCTGAGTAACTACATAGTCTAGTTAACTGAAACTAAACCGGTTTATTGTTGAGCAAAATAAGATTTATTCATCAAAATTTGATTGAAAAATTCAAATGTTTGTGAATTTCAAGAACGATTTCACAAGTTTACGATATTCACTTTTAGTGAGTCCCTTATATGTTCAAATGTAGCATTGGGGATTTTCTTCGCCCCCAAATGCCAACATTATGCTTGTTGACTTTGCCACTCGTATGAAATAAAGCCTCATCTTTAGAAGCAAGATGTTCTTCGAACACGTCTTCTTCAAGTTTCTCTTTCATATCGACACAGAGTGAATGGCTTGTCTTCTGTCTTTAAAGCTTGAATGAACTGCAGTGTCAGTGATAAGCGTCACCTTCCGAAACGCCAAACTGTCGTTAGAGGAATCCGGGTCTCCAGACTTACTTTTCTTATGGACTTCCTGCGGCTTCGCGGTTTTTCGAACCCGCTCGACCATCTCTTCCGATACTGGTGGTCGTCAAAATCTTTTTGCTCTGTACAACTATCGTTCCTCTTTGAACTTTTCGTTCTATGTCCAAATCTGCATTGCAGTTGGTGTATTTTTAGCGAATTCTCTCACAAATGCACATTGCACAGTTTTCTTAGTATTCAAGTATACTATGACTATAAACGCTTTTTTTCCCAGTGAATGGCATTTGTATATCTGAAAAGAAATAAAAAATAAATATAGAATTTTGTGTTGTTTCTATACATGTTCTTAAGATTTGAGATAATTAAATTATTAAATTATAACAATTTTTCTGAAACACCTGAAATACAGCGCTGTTCGATAAAAGTGACTCACCTGATTTTTTTTACTAAATGTTCTCTTCTCCGATGAAATGAAAGTTGAGCTAAATTCAAAGGATAAGCGATCTAAAATCTGAAGAAGAAGCTTTGAAAGCTCTTTGAATTTAGCAGTAAGTACTGTCAAGCATGCGTTCAGTATAATGTTCTGGGGATGCTTTTCTTTTCATTGAAATAGTTTCTTGAAACCTATTGAAAAGACCCTCAGGAGCGAGCAGTACAAGAGAATTTTAGAGTCTAGTCTGTTCCCTTCTGCTGAAAGGGATTCGACTCCACCAAGCTCATTTTTATGCAGGATAATGCTCCCTGTCACAAATCAAAATTCCTGTAGGAATAATTTGATGAGAAGCAAGTGAGTGTTATTACATGGGAGCCCCAATCTCCTGACCTCAACCCCATAGACAACTTATGGAACATTATAAAGTACAGGCTCTCGAGAAAGCAGTTGAGTAACATGCTCCGTAATTTTTAATTCCAGTCGAATCCTTTACATTCACTTACGTGCTTTTTTTTCCCCGCTCCCCCAGCTAGGGGTAAATAGCAGGACAGGCCGGGTTCTATAGCCTTTGATGGCAACTGATCTACCGCAGAAAGAAATGATTGGTCTGAACTCAGTCTCTTTCCACACTGTTCAGTCCTGTATTGTTGTCCCCACATTCCCAATGTCCAACCCTGAGATCCGTGCCTTAGGAGCAAGGATGAAGCGATTTCCCTGTCCGTTCGGTGGCAGTGGCTGGCAAACTGTAATCATATTTGTTTGATCCTAAGAGAGATCGGGTCTCATCTCTCCGTAAATTGTGTTAAGCATTGCATAGGATCTCCATTCTGGATTTTTCTAAGTAGATTTGTATATGTTTCATCCAGTCGTCTTTCAAGACGAACAGACACTGTCCAAGTTTCTTATCCATACAGTAGGACTGGTTCAATCAATGTTCGAAAAGTTTTGACTTTTAAGGAGGATGGAAGGTTCGAACGCCAAATCTTGTAAAGTTTGTTACACACATCCGATTCATTACTTAGTTCTACCAGAAATACCATCCTGATTCTTTCTGTATTCCATTTGTAAGAAGGAAGTTCCATTCGAACCTGCTTCTTCCCAAGAGCAACTACTTTGTAGTATTTGGTAATTGGTAGTATATACCCGACCACTATAATTTTAATCTTCTCAAGTCTAGGGTCAGCTGTTATTTATCGTATATATTGATTTTTTACGGTTTATCAACCCTTTGCAGATTATTCAAAGTCAAAAATATTTTTAGTTTGTAAGAATTCTTTTGAGATATTAATGAGATATTATCGTTATCCTTCGATCTCCCTATAATTGGTTTGAACTCAGTCCCTTTCCACACTGTTCAGTCCTGTATTGCTGTCTCTACATCCCCAATGTCCAACCCTGAGATCCGTGTTTTGGTGTCTTAGAAAGTCAATTTTCATAAGAGGATACTTCCAGAAGTATTGCATAGGAGCGAGAATGGGGCTATTTCCCTGTCTGCTCGGTGGCAGTGGCCGGCAAACTGTAATCATATTTGTTTGAGCCTAAGAGTGATCGGGTTTCATTTCTCCGTAAATTGTGTTAAGCATTGCATAGGATCTCCATTTTGGATTTTTCTAAGTAGATTTGCTTATGTTCCATCTAGTCTTCTTTCAAGACGAACAGACACTGTCCAAGTTTCTTATCCATACAGTAGGACTGGTTCAATCAATGTTCGAAAAGTTTTGACTTTTAAGGAGGATGGAATGTTCGAACGCCAAATCTTGTGAAGTTTGTTACACGCATCCCATGCAAATGATTTGCGGTTGTTGAAGTATTTTAATTATATACTGATAAAACTCTTACTAATTAACTCATAGCTGGGGGAGAAGGGGTGGATTAATATCTTTACCAAGGGTATTTGAGTGTGATTAAATATAACAACCTCGTCTGGAATTAGAACTCGGTTCTCTGATTTCCAAATCCGAGCCATTGTTCATTGCACCACCCGCACATTCAAGCTTACAGCTCTTAGTCCATCGTTTTATATATTTTTGTATATATTCATATATACTTTTAAAATGTCCGTTCTTTAAAGTTCTGATAAAATGTTGCCTCTCCCACAGACCATTTAACCATTTGATATAGTGCCAGACTAAACAGGATCTGCAGCGCTCGGAATACGCCACTAACATACTCTGCTGAACGGTAAATGCCACCGCCTCACTGCTAAAAGGGCCTCCTTCTGGGAGGATACTTTCTGACTTGGGCATAAATCGCATCTAGTACGGATCAGCTAGATTGCATAATAGTAGTGGTCTGCGAGATTAACCCCATTACGTCATGGCAATGTTCTTCAAAGCGAGGCTAAAATCCTATCTCTTACATTGTACAATGTATATGCCAAGTTTGGTCAACGTTGGAAACGACTACTCACCTTGCCTCGTTTCTGTATTAGCCATAGAAAAAATTACAAACTCTATTGAAATAATAATTTTTTATTTCAATAATTTATCATCATTGACTGGTTTGAAAATCCTTGGAAATTATCTCAATTTACAAGGTGATAATGGTCATCACCTATATGTAATATTAATCCCTATTATATGATAGATGTTGCTCTGTTTAACTAAAACATTGAGCTCTATGTGTGAATCAGTTTTAATATTTAATATTTAACATTTTATATTGTTTTAATAGGATTCACCTGGATTATATAGCAACGGGTTATTACACACACACACACACACACATATACAACCACAAACACACAAACACACACACACACACAAACATATATGTATATACATATATATATATATATATATATTTTTTAGTTTATACGTTTTTTTTTTTTATTTTTATACTTATTTTTTTTATAAAGATACAAATATTTAAAAAAATGCTATGCTTATAAATAAACAGTTTAAAGAAACAACATTTATATATATATAAACATAGCATTTTTAAATATATATATATCAATATATCAATATAGGAGAACTCAAAACAGAGCGAAAATTTAAATTAAAGAAAAAAGACCATTTTAAGAATAATTGTCATTTTGTCCATTCCATAAGGTCTGATGATCCAGAGAAAAAGAAAGTCTCTGGTGAAATAAATTATGCATAAATTATAGGAAACAATAGGCTTAGGGTCATCTCACGTTGAAACACCACTTCTCGTACGATCACCGAAGTTAAGCAACGTCGAGCCTGGTCAGTATCTAGACAGGTGACTGCTTACGTATACCAAATTTTGTAAACATTTTTGCATCATTTACATTAATAACAGGGTTTACGAACAGACCACGTTGAAGCGCTGGTTTTCAGATGTAAAGCAACGTCGAGCCTATAACAATGAAACCTTAAAGCGGTCTATTTTTTCTTTAAATTAATATATATATATATATATATATATATATATATATATATATATATATATATATATATTGTTCTCGCTCGTTCATAATGTTTTGCTTTTTTGCCGGGGGGTCACTATTTGCCCATAACTGGGACCCTAACAGGTGCTGCCACCCCGTGTCAGGGTCGACCTGGGAACAACAGAAATTAATAGGTGGTTTCACTCCCCTCAAAACCTCCCGATCCACGACCTTGCTGCCGGGTGTAGTTTATCGTCATACCCAGGACTAGAAAAGATTTTAGAAGGAACTGGAAACTCATAAATTGTAATTAAAACGTTAAAAGTATAGAATTGAAGCAGACTTTAGAAGAAACCGGAAACAAAATCCTAAACAGGGAACAAGAGATAAACATCTACTTCTGTTCAAAATACCGAGGAGGACTGTGAACCGGGTGATAGGCAAACCTATCTACTCCTATTGAGGAAAAAATAATTAAAAGAATCTGTAGAGATTCATGGCCGCCTACTTTAGGAAGGAAAATGGTATTCCCAAAAAAATAAAATGGTGTTTTAGCATTAGCTTTTGTTTTATCACAAAATGTATTGTCAATATTTATTTTTCAGATATCATCCTGGAAGCCAGATACGGTTCTCATCGGAAACAAAGACGAAGTCGCACAGCCTTCACCAATCAACAGTTAGCTGCCCTAGAGAAGACATTTGCCAAGACGCATTACCCGGATGTTGTAATGCGCGAAAGATTGGCCATGATGACAAGTTTGCCTGAAGCGAGAATACAGGTCAGTTTATTTCTTTGTGTCTCTCATCCTAAATACTGCATGTAGGCGCCAATTGACACAGTTGTTATTATTAGAGTCTCATCGACTGTTTGATGTTTTGGATCAGTGCTTTGTTGGTAAAAAAGTACTGAACTGCTACATGACATCTGTCCTCCTTTACGGCAGCGAATGTTGGACGGTCTCCTCAAAGATGAAGAAGAGACTTGAGGCAACGGAGGTATAGATCTACAGTATAGATGATAAGGATACCATAGACCGTGGTTTTGGAGAGGATGCAAACAAGGAGCAAGCTTATACTTAACATAGGAAGAGGCAGCTACAATATCTGGGGCAAGTAATGAGCAAGGAGGGCTTGGAGAATCTGACACTTACAGGGCGGATAGAGGGAAAGAGAGACAAGAGAAAGCAATGTGTGACATACCTAGCGGGCTTAAGCAATTGGATGACTGAACAGGGTTTGGGTGAAGTAGCAAAAGGACGAAACACATTGAGAACTACAAAGGATAGGAGGAAGTGGAGAGCCATGATTGCTTACGTCCTGAAGGGACACGGCACATAAAATAAAAAGAAGATGAGGAGGCTCATATCTCAGCTCCTACCCGCTGATTAGAAACATGACACTTTCCTTAGAACATGAGTTGTTCCAATTATCACTGCTATCTGCGCACTCTTAAGGTATCCCCAAGACGCCTAGCGAAGCAGAAACATCCTTGGAGATATTATTGTTCTTCATGATGACGGTCGTCTTTGAGTATAGAATCCAGAGGTTAGCAGTGAATATTTCCAAGACAGTAGGGAAGCGTATTTCAGGTTAGCAGCGGATATCTCGGTAAAAGTAGCAGAGCGTAGTCCGTCCTTCTGTTTCTCTTCGCCTGACAAGCTGGAACTGGACATTCGGGTAGGGTAAACAAAATGGCCGCCTTTATACACGACGGATTGAATATTCTACGTCTTCTGATTGGTTAACCTTCTATTGGTGTACTATAAAGTGAGTCAAGTCATTTGGGCTAACTCACTAGTTACATAGTACCCCAAAAACTGCAACAATTATTATGATTTGCGTATGTTATGATTCTTGCTTTGTATCCCGGAGAACCAGGTCCAAACTATGGTCCTTAGGGCCTATAGGAAAATTGTCATTTAAATGATAGCACTTAGTATATGGGATGTTCCTAGTAGGGAGATCTTCTGCGTAACCTGTATGTTGATGTTACCTGGGACACTGTTAGTAAACTTGTCCATTCATTTTCTTGCGATGCCCACAGCTCCGATTACTATTGGTACGACAGTCTTAGTCTTCATTCCCCACATCCTGTTAATCTCGATCTCCAGGTCCTTGTATTTGGACAATTTCCCGATAATTTTTATGGAGGAGTTTCTCACAGATGGTACTGCTATGTCAATAAGCATACACTTCCTGAATTTCTTGTCTTTCATGATAATATCAGGTCTGTTGATTTTTATTTCCCTGTCAGTTTGAATTGGATGATTATTATTAATATTATTATCATTATTATTGTTGTTGTTATATGTAAATTTATAAGTCATGTGAGTTCACATTTCTTATAAATAGTAACAGGATCAAATCCAGCAATCGTCATTTGATCTAAAACTTTTTTGTGTGCTGTGTCCTTTCAGGACGTAGGCGATCATGGATCTCCACTCCCCCTATCCCTTGTGGCTCACAAGGAAGTTCCACTCGAATAACTTTGTGGAACAGACTCTGGAGAGGGTTCTTCCTTGATCACTACAACCTTAACCTTTTCAAATCTAGATTTATCTATACTACATATCCTCATAATCTAAACTTTTTATCTCCCCCTGTTGTGTTCTTACAAAAGATTAATTCAGCAACCCTCTACCTTGAGTGTCTCTTGGGCCTAGCATTCATGAGCAATTCGTAAAAATAAATCTCTGTAGGATGATCCTTGAATATCTTTTATTCCTATTTTTTTCTCTCAATTCCCCTTTTTTCTCTTTTTTTTTTTTTTACCTTAGGTCTGGTTTAAAAACAGACGAGCTAAATTTCGCAAGAAGCAAAAGGCTTTAAAACAGAAAGAACGACAGCAAGGTGATTCGGCAACGGTCGAGTGTGACAACAACTCGTGTCGTGACAACAGCACCGACAAAAGTCATGCCCTTTCTTTGCAGCAGCACCTGTTGCAGCACACGCAACTAACACATACCGGATCGACCGGTGATGGGCAAGCGGCGGTCGGGGGCAGCAGTACTATGAACAGTGTGGCGATAGGATCCCTGTCCCAGGCCGAGGAAACTCCAGATGTCGGCGAGATGTCGCATCGAATGGATATACACGGGGATGAAGATGTAGCAATGGATCAAAGCTGCGATGTCGGTGACCATACCCCGAAATGTATAGAAGATCCCAAATTAGCCAATAACGCAGGTATGTATGAAGATTCCATACAATAACACTGGACAACAACAACAAAAAAAAAATTGATTGGTGTCGAGACACCAAACATCTTTCTTAGCTAATTCGAGGAAGCTGAATCTGAAAATGACCTTACTTTTTCTTGGTTAGCTACCGTTTGTTTTTTTGTTTTTTTTTTTTGTTTTTTTGCTGTACAGAAATGCCTCATTTTGGAAAAAAAAAGCATTCTTCATTTGTTTTCTGTATATATGATACTATCAGTAGAGCCCGGCGTTGCCCGGGGATGTAACAGTGAGATAGATCAAGTATCGACCATCATAAAGACTGAAAAATAAAATTGACAAAGATTATTGTTTAAGGTTGACGGACACGCATGTCTTAATTAGTTTTTTTTTTTTTTTTTTACGAATTGGTCAAACCCAAACTCAAACAAAAACATTGTTTTCAATCGTTATGAGTCTACCGATTGAATAGAATTTTATTATAAACAATTGTCTTGTAAATGGAATTTTTAAAGCATTCTGAATGTAAAAATAAAGAAAAAAGTGTGCAAGACAATAAGAAACACTACCTGCAAAAAAAAAGTGAAGTTTTGTTGAAATCGGTTGAAAAATGTAGGAAATCCGATCCCATATATAAGCGAACATACACACACACACACACACACACACACACACACACACACACACACACACACAGAACCAACCTGGGTTTTATAATAAGTATAACTCGATATGTTGTCCCCCTTTCATTAATGCCTCTTAATCGTGTTTTCAAATTGATTTCGTACAAAAACAATTGTGTTTTTCCGATTTTTGGCGCTGTCAGAACCACCGCAAGGTAATTTTACGCAGTCCTGTGAAGTTTTGTTGAAATCGGTTGAAAAATGTAGGAAATCCGATCCAATATATAAACGAACAGACACACACACACACACACACACACACAACATGGCTTTTATAGTAAGTATGATTGACCGATGGCAATATTTCTCAAAATAAAAAAAAATAAAATTTAAACCAACAAATATTCGTCTGCTTATTGAGAAATACTATTTTTGAAATAACAATCAGAGCCTAAGTCTTTAAAAAGAACACGATTGAATATACCAAGGCCAACAAGTATTTTCATCAAATCATTTAATAAACTAACAGGAGAAATAAAACCTTCGTGACCATAAGAACTATGGTAAATATTTTCTTTTTCTTGATTGTCTGTCATGTTCAATGTTATTTAAGTCCCTTTTGATACTCCAGCAGTATCATGTATAATGAAATAGGTGCATTCAATTGGGATGTCTTTAGTTGGAGTTTCTTTACAACTGTGAAAACAAAATACTCTCATTGGGTTTGGTTTCCTTCCGTAGTGAAGGGATAATAGTACTGGGATAAATTTATGAATATCAAACAGATTTTAGGGCTTCTTTTTTATGTCACCTTAATTATCAGATTTACTAAAGTGTGTTACTGATAAAGATTATCAGTTAATTTGAATTATGGAATAAATAAATTGAAAAACTTCGGTACTTCTATTTTAAAATCTTTGACTCAAAAACACTTTTTTCTTAAAAAAAAAAAAGTGTATTTCAGGTAGCTGACATAAATTACTCGGCCTAGGTGAAAATTGATGGGTTTCTACGACCTTTATTAACTAAATTTTGCGATCAGCTAAGATCGTAAATTGATCTTATTACCAAAAATGAGCAATTTCAGTACAGCAAAAACGGTAGCTAACCATGAAAAACTGAGGTCATTTTCGGGATCAGCACCATTAAATTAGCTAAAAAATATGTTTTGTTTGTTGGCACCAAAAATTTGTGTTGACTAGTGTAATGAAAATATTATAATCACTATTTACTTATACACGTTACGCCTTGTCAGCGTCTCCTGAGCAATGGCCTATTCCATTTTGATCGCATGGAAAGACGAAGAAGACACATCAGGAACACAACTTCATCTTAGTGAAAAAAAAATGAAAGAAAAGAACAAAGAAATAAAGAATGGAAGTTAAATGAGTCGATAACACTTTCATGAGGTTAGTGTCAATTTCAGAGAAATGGAAAAAGTTGACAATTTCAAATCTCTTCATTTTGTAACGAGGAGAGAAGAAAGAAACATTTGTTCTCCCAATTACGTTTCTCTTGTTATGGGTGTTGTTATATACGTGATATAACAACACCGTAACTCACGAACAGGACAGGACGGAATGGCTGAAAGGAAAATGAATGACAAACATGCTTTATTCTCAGAGAGAATTTTATACTACTAAAAAAAAAACTATAAATACATATATACACATGTTTCATGCATAGAATAATCTATCACATATGTTACACAGCAAAGCAGAGTGTTTGGTTCTGACATAGAATATGGAGATATTCCTGTGTCTGGAGAAGCCATATTTAGGACATGGATTCAAATGGGCCTGATTCATCTATGTCCCAGGTGAGGACATATTCTACAAACGGGGAAACAGCGAGTCATGGATTTTCTCAAATTCAGGACGATGAGCTGGAGTTTCTCTTTATATATTGGAAAGATATATTCCTAAAGAGAAATGACACCATGGACAAACAAAAGTAACTCGATCAAACTGCATACTTTTAAGAAATATTCTTTTTTGTACAAAATGTGAAATTAAAACTAGTATCAATTAATTAATAGAATAATAGGATTAAACATTTTAATTCAGTTATTAAAAAGGTATATATTCACAAAAGTCTAATTATATTTTTTAATACAATAAAAAATCAGATTTTGAAGAACCTGATAAAGTAAAGGTATGACTGGAGTGGAGTGGTTGGGAGAAAGATTTAAACAAAAAAGCAACTTTCTCGTTTGGTTGCTGTTCACGAACTGGCAAAATGATTTCCGCTTTTGGGTCATTGTATGGAGTGACGTCAAGAAGCGATCGTCATGTGATCACGTGATTATCTTCCACCGAAGGGAGATAAGCGACGTCCGTATCCCTACAATTTGTACCCCCTTACTTCTTTAAATAACGACCAGCATTCATATTTATGATTGTTATTGCAATAGTTTGTTAAAGTTGTTAAGCTCAAATATTTAAAGATAAAATAGGGGAATTTCTATATTTTATTGTCGTAGAACTCGCCATGAGTTTATTTAATCATTAACTGAAGAATTAAGATTCACCAGAAAATTCAAATAGGAAAACCGTGAAATTTTCACCGATATTTTTAGTATATATATATATATATATATATATATATATATATATATATAGGACTATATTCGCACAAAAAAATTAATCGCAAAAAATCAGGTAAAAAATCGCCGAAAACAATCGAGTAATGAGAACTTGTGAATCCAAAATTTCTGTAATAAGAGCTATTGAAAGCTAAAAAGTTGTGTCCCTTTAATTGAAAAAGTGTAACAGAGTAACACACTGACATTGGCATTTATTATATAGAAGGAGATGAGCTACTGAGAGTTGTGTCCCTTTAATTGAAAAAGTGTGATAGTCTGACACATTTATTTTTATATATCATATATTATATATTTATTTTATATATATATATATATATATATATATATATATATATATTAAAGATTTAAGAAACAGTAGATATTTTTTATATATAGTGTCCAATATTAAAAATATTAAAATAATATTAAAAATAGAACGTTAATAATATTATATGAAAAGATTACTTAAGTTTTAAATATCAATTTTAGTTAAGTAACACACACACGCCAAACTTTCCTTCTCAAGGTTGAATTCAGACTTTTCTTCCTTCTAGACTGACTACGAAGCAAGATAAGAGAGATATTTAACCAATAATTGAAGACGGATTCATGCCTTTTCTAAGTGCATTAGTATGAAGTAAACAAAAACAGAATTGACCGGAATTCGAAATCGGCTCGTCGATACCGTTTTTCAGCACCGAAAACTGTTACACCTCCCACATATCCTATATATGTGGCTTAGCCAAAAAAAAAAAAAAAAATTATGATGACTATAAATAAATAAAACACTTTTAAGAGAGATTTAAATACAATAAAAAAGATGGCATTCGTGTAGTCATCATGGACCAGATATCAGATATTTCCGGCAGCTCCACGCATGAAAAAAAGACCCTGTCTGTGTGTGTGCATCTGTGTATGTGTGTGTATGTGCATGCGTGTGTGTATGTGTGTCCTATTTTGCAACTGTGTTCATTAAAAGTACTTACAAACGAGGAGGCAAATCTAAAACAAAACAAAAGGCTAAAAATATTTGAAAGGCAGTGTTTTTATTCCTTCATCTCATGGTATTAAAAACAAAATGTTACGAATGAAAAAGACATCCTTCTAATTAATAAGTGTCCATTTAAAATGGCATCTGAATGTGTTGTAATGTAGATGAGGATTTGTCTTATTTTAACAGATATATTTACAAAAATTACACAAAAATATTTTGAAGTATTAACAAGTAAATCTATTCAATAAAATCGCCATTGGCTTCAACCACAGCCTCCATCTATTCTGGACGGTCTTTTTGTTTATGTTGGTGAATATTGTTATAATCTTTGCCTTCATTTCATCTTTGGTATTACAAGGAATTTTGTTGGTCTCTCGCTCAACTGCGCCCCACACAAAATAATCAGAGGCTGCAGTCTGGAGAGTTACGTGTCTAGATGTAAAGGAAGATGTGGTTGCAGAAATTGTCTGACAGCCATGACTGTCATCTCCAGCTTCTGTGGCATGGTGCAGAGTCCTGTTGCCATATATAGGGTCTTCCAGCAGCCATCCTCTTGACCCAAGAAAGCACTACCTCTCCAAGGCACTTGATGTAGGCCTCCGTTTTGAGTTTGAAGCCCTATGGCAAGATCAATGAAGGCATAACGTCACCATCATTCTAAATACCTTCGTAATCACCATAAGACTCATCCAACTCTTACTGAATCTTCTGCACTGTCCCTCAGATTGGCCACGAAAAACTCTGAAAGGTTCGTATTAGAGTTTCTGGTGTGAATGCCAAGCAAATTTCTGGTGGAGCGAATTGTGTCATGGT